AGAGAGAGAGAAACGTCCTGGACGTTTCTCGTAGCTTGCCGGTTCTTCACGTAGCTCACGCGTCTCCCCATTAGGTAAGCTAGGCGAGGTTCCACTGTATTACCGTACACACGAACAAATTGTCGCGACTACTTGTCTCTCTCCTAACCACGTTACATACCCATTTCAACCCACCCAGTCCCTCCGACTTTCCGATTCTTCGTGTTCTTGCATGCCCAGACTCCTTTCCTCGCACACCTTAATTATAGAATCATACACTTGTAACATTTTTTTTTTCTTTCGACTTAATCTCTCAGACTCTCAAGATTTACCAATTACCTGAAACTTTAAGGCGTTCGTAACTCGCGCACTGGGATCTTCAACACGGGATATGTACAACGAATCTATTGCGCAACACCCCCGCGTGACTATACTCTTCCTTATGTACACATACGTCCGGACGTGATCTTCCGTGAAACATATAAATAAAGGGGAAGTACGGCCTAGTACCACTAGACCCACCTGTACGGCATACATGTATCATGTGAAACGAACTACAACCGATACCACTCGCGTTCGATAACTTTTACCCGAAACGTTGTGTTTTGCAAATGGGACGGTTTTCTCATAATTTACGTATTCCCTTTACCGTTTTTTTTTTCTTCAAATTTCATCACGTCCCATATTCGTGAGCAAGTTAGAATTTCTGACGATTATTGTTATTTTTTTGATGGCAGAAAAAATGGAGTAGCTACTATGAACTTTGGACTGTCAATCGCGTTTAATGTAAGGTTCGAGAGGCTACGTATGGGAGAGTACTTATTCAGCCATGAGAATCCACACGCCCTCCTTCTTTTTCTCATTATTTTCACGGCAGTTGTCATCGATCTTATCGTCATAATCGTTGTCGTTGTCATTAGTAATAGCGTTTACGTTCTGCCCGCTGTAACCATAAGAAACGTCAATCTTTCGGCGCAGGACGCGCACTGAATTCCACTCTGTCGATTTTCACATTCTACTTATTTTCGTACCAAATATTTTTGTTGCGTGTTTATACGGAATATTACAACTTTTCTTTCGCGCTTCACTGAGCGAGCGGCATAATGCGTTTCGTTCCCAGCCAAAAATAGGTTTAAAATAAATACGTGCGCACCTCAAGAGGACCTATCTTCATGCGTCTTGGGTCACTTTACGGTTGTCATTTCGAATTTTACTGTAGTTCTTTGAAAAATTTATCTATTTTATCGCAGCCTACTAGTCAATTAATACGCTATTCAAATTATCGTGTAAAACTATCCTTGCCGTATCTTTAAATCCCATTGTCACTGGGTTGGCATAAGCCATAAGCGTATTCGTAGAAGGACCTGGAATTTGCTAGGTTTATAACGATGCGTAAATAATTAAAAAAATATTATTTCACTAGAGATACAGCATCCGGTTTATAGTATTATGTACAATGTAAAATAACGCAGAGACAAGAATTGTTTGCATTAGAGTAATGCAAATGAACAAGAATCTACGTTCCAACTGATTTAAAGGAACACCTTGAGCACTGCAAGTGCGACTATTATCGATATAATCATATATAGTATAATCAGACTCGAGTCTCTTGTACATAAAGTGATTAACTGCCTCGTGCAAGATATAATAGATAGCATAAGCTAGTACGAAAGTCTATGCTTTTTCGTAAAACTGAAGTTCTGTTCGTATTTGTTGCCGAGAGTCGTAAGAATTCCGCCGAGCGAATGTGAATGAGCTTCGCAGCTGCTACATTCCTGTGTGCCATCGCTACCGCTTCTTACTCTTTCCTTTTTTTTCTTCTTGCTAAATATCCTAGCCAATTATTGAAGAAACTTCTACAGAGCGAATTGCAGGCGTCATCCTGCCTCTGTCAGTCACTAGTTTCAATTGTCTTTTTCTTTATGTGATTGCGAGAGCATTACAGATGCAGGGACAGTCAGTACGATCTTTCATTGACAAAGATTTGAAATATCGTTAAGAATAGATATATTTCATTTAAAGAAACGCAACTCCTTGTGGCTAGACGAGTCTAATAGAATTCTGAGCAAGCAAAATATAAGCTTATAATGGTGTCAAAGAACATAATTGTAATGAATAATAATCGATATTATTATCGTTAGACTGAAAATTGGAAAAATACTGAATTATCGTTAAAAAAAAAAAATAAGAATAACAGAAGATGAAAATAAGATATAATGCGACGAAGCAGACTGTATAAATAAATATAAATAGCAGCAATACTTTGCAGAGAGAAAAGAACGGCACGAAGTTTTGAAGAATTTTCGAGGGGATAAATCGTGAATTAAAAATGTACGGATGAAACCGCATAAACCAGGTCGAACTGGACCAAACTCCCACCGTACGCGTATGACTTCGAATGCATCTCATTTGATCTTATTTAACCGCCTTTCTTTTCGTTCTCACGTTTCGACAAATACGTGCGTGCTGCCTCGTAATAAATATGGCATACGGCAGTAGTATCGGCAGCTAAAAGTATCGGTTTACCACGTAACATCTGTATATGCGTTCGTATATGGGAAGTCTGGTGGACTCGTAAGGCTGGATGAAGGCTCGGAGGGGGGTGGCGGTGGGGAGCTGAGATCGGTATAGACGAATTGAATGCACCGAGGAGCATGCCGGAGGAACTTGTCGAACGATGCTGCGGGGAGAAGACGAGAATGGGAGAACGAGAGAACGAGAGAATGGCGGAGCCAAAAGAAGAAGAGAGGCGAAGAAGGAGAGGAAGAAAGAAGGGAGGGCCAACGTGCCACGTGCATCGTAGGCATTATTCTCGTTTCAAGTGGATCTCCGTCCGTGAAGCTGCGGCAAGTTTTCTGCTCTCGGAGTCCGCGGCACACGGACTTTATTCTTGCAACGCATGCTACACGTAGGAAATTAATTAAAGTCGGTGGATCCTAAGGGGATGCTTATTGTAGCTGTGCACTACTCTTCGGGGTGTGGGTGGAGCGGGTGCCGAGGTAGGTAGGTAGGTAGGTAGGCATTACGCATTGTAGTGTGTTTCTCAAGCAGCAGCCCTCTCTCGCCGAGGCCCAAAGCCAGCCGCGTGGTCGCTCAAGTACCGAGCAAGCCTCGCCTTGTTAAGAATTAATCACTTTCTAGCCGACGTACGGATGGGGTCGACTCTCTCGTGTTATTTTAATTGTAAGCAAATTACCGAGAATGAATCCCGGAGTTTCGAGGCGTGCCCACGAGACTGTTGTCCGCCCGAGTGATCCGTCACCCGATCGAATATACTGGATCGACGTGCATCTTCCATCCATACGCCTATCCCACAGGCCACGTATCCTTCTGGCTTCCCGTGACTGCTGGCAACAGCAGCTGCTGCCGGTGATTCGGTCGCCGGCAGCGAAACCTCCGACTCTTAAGCCTACTTTTTCTAGCCAGCAAAGGGTTCGACGCCGTAGGCTTTGATTCCTTCTACGTAAACATCTAGAAAAAACATGGTAAAAATAAGCGCCGCCATTGACAGCGAGAACGGCAGAGCTTTCCTGACACCTCGTCGATGCCGCTTCTTCTCCTGAGGGGTTAACGGTTGCCTGTATTTGTGGAGAAGAGACTGGTAATCGAGGTGTCGAAGTGCTACGGGACTGACGACGAGTAGGGTGCTTCAACGTCAGCGAGAATGTCTAAGTCGACCTCGACGTCGCGCGCCTCGGCGAAGGATCCGAGCGGACCCCTGGTGAACCGCGAGGTTTAGTGTTGACGGGAGCGCTGAGTCGTGGATGAGGACGAGAGAAGTCGAAGAGGAGGGGAGAAAGGGAAAATGAAACGGGTGGAAATAAAAAAATAATAAGGAAGAACGATATTCCTATGTCTGAGCAAAAGATCGACTCGGAGAGACGAGGAGGAAGGAAAGAGAGAGAGAGAGAGAAGTGAGAGAAAAAGAAAATAAGAAAGAACGAAGTAGCTTACAGTAAAGTGACGTCTGGTGACACGGCGGGATAGTGAATGCGTCCCCCCGGATCCCACGGGAGCGCAACCGCGGTCTGTCCTCCCGTACGAGGTAACTCCTCGCAGAGATAAGAAGTCGAAGACAATAATCCGACTGACAGCTGGCTCGTCCTCGCGGCTTATTTTCCGATCCACGTGAGCTTTGAGCCGTTAAGAGGGAATCGGCCGAGCGTTATGCGCGGCATCGGCTTTAATCCTATTAATAGCTCACGTGGGTCATCCGCGCCGCTTTGTTGTGCGTTATTACGTTCTGTCACTGTTTTTACGAGGTTGTCCACGCACTCGTTACGAGGCCGATTATCGCCTCGTACTTTGTTAGCTCGATATCTCTAGCAAACGCATCCAGTGGTACATCCCTCTGACGAGGATTCTCCTCAACTGGAAAGGACGTGATGGGAAGCAAGCGAAGACGGTCGCTCCCATGGGGACTCGGGCCAGGACCTTTTTCTTAGCGACAAACGCACGGACCAGGCAACCAAGCAGACACGGCCGAAAGTTTCTCATATCGTTTCCACGCTTTTCTTTCAAGTCTTGCAGAATAAACACGATCCGTTCGAGGTCCCTTCGTTTTGTCGTGGACGATCGACAACGTCGACATAAAAAAACTCTGAGGCGCTAGAACTCCGAAATTCATTTACCCGTACTGGACGATTTTATCAAAGAACAATGGATCCGTATTTTTTTTTTTTTTTTTGAAACAATAAAATTTCAGAAGATCGTGGACCTCTCGAGGCATTATTCGTTAATTCATTCGGACGTTGGCTGATGATCGGGTCGTGAGATTTCTTATAGATTTATACCCATTCATGGAAGCTTAGGATGAAACAAAGTCGTCTCTGTATTCTTGAGGAATAAAGAGCGCGTTTCTTTCGAAGGACGCAATATTGTAGCCGATGATCAAAGCCTGAGAAGATTATGAATATTGCAGTCTCCTAGAATCGCATTGGCGATCTATCTGGTAATCACGCAATTTGTTTATCTACGGGAAATATCAAAAGGATTAGAGGCAGCGAATAGATAATAAACATGGGCTAATAAAGATATCCGAAAATATCTCGGTGCAACATCGCCAGATATAAGCTACGAAGAGTCTGCTCTATGATTATGGATTCCGCGATGTCCCCGTCGTTACGTACGGTTCGTCGGAATTCTATTTATTCGTTATTACATCGCCAAGGATAATACCGTTTTTCCGAGTAAGACAATGTAACCACTGATGGGAGTTCGGGATTGCGGATATTCTGTACCTTAGTAATAATATCCATAGTCAAGTCGCGGACGTAGAAAGTTGGTCTCTTCGATTTTCTTGAGCTTCGTGTAACCGGTCTTCGAGATTCCGCAACGATCGCTCCACTCGGGTAAAATGGGCACTTCCGCTTGACCTCCTTCTGAAATTTGTCTCTTACGAGTAACTTTCGTCAAGCACTTGCACTTTCACGAAGTTATTTATAACAGCTTCGAAAGGACAATACCAACGTGCGTCCTTTCGTTTGAAAACGTAAGGGGATAGTACTTACAAATAGCTAATTAGTCCGATTAGCCACGTTAGGTGCGAGGGGTAGGCATAGGTCGAATGTTAAAGTGCCAAAGTACCTGCTAAGGACATCGGCAGGACACGGGGCACTCTCTGCGATAGGATATGGTTAGACGTGCGGTGGATAGCGATTATGGGGGTAGGCATGTTTCGGTAATTGCGTGGCTAAGTTTAGGCGGTGCAGTTGGCGTCAATGCGCGGATGCATATTCAGAACGGCCTCCTCATATTCTTATGCTCACTTACTAAACTGCAGCGTCGTCGCATGTGGATGTGAATGTGAATGGAACTTGCTGGCACCCCGCCTGTTTATATTTAGCCACTGTGGGCGGTATAGCTGTCATGGATACGTATCATCGGCATAACCGAGCTTTGCAGAATGAATAATGAAGCTTCATTGGGTTTCTCGAAGAATTATCGAATCGCTCGTTATTGCGACTCCAGGAAAGACAACGAGATAGAGTAAAACTAAATGAATTTCGATTCCCCGTATTTTCACCCGATACTCTGCACCCGTCTCGTATGCACATGTGCATCGTGGAATTCAAACTCTACTCACGGTTTACTCCAGTCTTTGACTCTCGAATCGCTTACTGGATCTGCAACGTGGAATCTGGCGGTTGATTTTGTCCATCCCAATCGGACGACACCGACGGATCTACGCATACGATTACGTAACTGGGAAGCCTTCTCAGCTCTTCTCCCTCGATGCTTCAACTGTTGAAACGTTTTCAAAGCTCCCACCGCGCCTTTAACGCCGGCCTTTCCTTTTTCCCTGTCTCTCGTGTTTATTAGCTTTTCGCGAATTTCGTTAAATTCTCCTGGAATCGCAAGCTCTTCTGTGGAAGTAAAAGACGCGAAGGTAAAAAGTTTAATCTAAGGTTGACAGCGGTACATGCAATATCGCAGATACTCAACTTCTCGGCTGGCATACTGGCAAGGCACTGGACGAACAAACGTCTTCCTTATCGTCTAAAATAGACTTTAAACTTCAAGCATATCTGGATCATAGCCAGAACTTAGAAATCCACAATTATGTTGGTGATGTTAAATCGTTGCTCCATTGTACGCGGTGACTGAAAAAGATATCGGGAACCAAAGAAAATTAATTCGTTACAAGCTGATATGCTCTTTCAAACGTTCAGATCAATCCCTGGACCAACCACCGCCCCCTCGCCCTGTACTACCGTCTTATAATTATGTCCAAACTTTTATTCCTACCAGTTAATTACTCACAGCGTTGCTCCCGAAGGACGTGGAACTATTTTCGAATGATTATCTGCGCCCTGCTCCCGAGTCATTCTAATTTGCGGCTCCTGCTTTATTTTTTTCAGTCTTTTCCCACTCACATGACTGTCGACTCGCAGAAGCAAGTCGAGATGCAGCGGTTACAGACAGAACATTTGAAGCGGCAACAAGAGCACATCATGCAGCACAACATTCAGGAACTTCAAGCCCAGATAACAAAGGGCCAGCTGAGCATGCCGAGTCCGCAGTCGCTGATGTTCCTTCCGTTTCTCGAACAACTCAGAGGTCTCCCTGTAGCATCGTCCATGCCACCTCCAACCTCTACAGCAACCACTGGGAACAAGCATATCAATTCCATCGTCAATGTACGTACTCAATATAGTCTCATACGTTGGACCTTCGGAGGTCCGAGATTTTCGAGCAGTTCTCATGAATCTAACGTACAACTGGCCAATGCGTTTCAAACGGAGATTTCCATGTGAGACTCATTGGTCGGCTAATTTTCATCTGCCAACCGTTCGCATACGTATCACTGCCCAGCATTCCTGCTGCTAAACACTCGTCGAATTAGCAAATTAGCAATCACTTGTATGCAACACTGCGAAAACAAATGTAACTTTACAATCTAATAGATTCACGTACAATTCAATTTGTCAGAGAAGCTCTAACGAGAGACTCGATTGTGGCTCATGTCCAGTAAAAATATTTAATACATGACTTTTGCCGTAATACTTATTGGTATTAAGTGAATTCGATCTCTCGCCGTAATTCTTATTCAAATTAATGATATTTAAGGCACGAGATCAATCGATTGATTAATTAAAATTCGGACGAGCGATTCTCATGTTATTGATACGTAATTAAATTCGATCAGTGTCGTATGTCTACGACAGCTCATGTTTCTTAAAATTATCACAAGAGTGTATTTTTATTGGGTGATAGATGATGAGTGGACATCGGGACGGACCCAGTTGGGCGACAGCTCATCTGGCACAGATGAGTACGCAGATGGAGAAGGAGTCCTCTCCGACGCCAGCCTCATCTGCCGTTGTTCCAGCTGCAGCCTCACTTCCAGATCCCGACACGCCCTTGAATCTCACCAAACCGAAGTGCTCGTCGACCGGAGCAACAGCGTCATCGTCGCCAGGTAGCGATTCGCATCATTCGATGGGAGCAGGAAGCAGCGGTCAACAAGAACAGCCACTGGCAGCCACGGCGCCAAAACTCTTCCCACCAGGGCTTCCAATGTCCCGAAATTACTTGCCCAGTCTATCGTACGCAGGACTTCCACCTCACCTCAGTCCTATTTCAGCGCCAAGTAAGCATCAAATCGTCTTAGCCCGTTGCCGTTTGCATTACTTCGAAGATTTCGAGTCTCTGCTTTCGGGTGGTCGTGAAACGCAAAGCGTAATGTGGATAAAAAGATTAAAAATGAGCCGACTAACTTGCTCTTCATTACAGTGGGCAAAGCCATGCCCAAGGAAGAAGGCGCCGGACCTGGAGGTTCGGTATCTGCTGCGGCAGTAGCGGCCGACTTTGCGATACGCGGGATTTACGGTTTGCCCCCGAATCCTGGTTCGATGCCTCCTTCGCCACAGGCGCAACGTCTCATGAAGCACTCGGGTGGTCGCGAAGAACCTTCTCAGGAAGAGCAGGAGTTCCTTTCTGCACCTCACAGTGAGTAGCCTGGACCATGATTCCTTCTTCTGTACTTTAACGATTGATCCTTCGACAAATGGGTCCGATCTCGTTTCTCCGTCCCGAGTCTGTTGCCTATTGCGAAAATGACTCGAAACAGGACTTATTTTTTCATTCGAACAGCGCGCATAAACTCTTCGACTTTCATCAACTATCCTTCTTCTCCTTCGTCGCACGGAGAATATCGTTCAACGTCTATCGATGGTAAAACTAATAATGTGCATTCGGGATTTTCAGTGTGGCGAGACTCAGGATACAAAGTACCGGAGGACATTACAGAAAAGGGTAAGGAACGTTCCTGAAGGACTAGATTGTTCAATGGCTTGTTAAACGGGTAACGTGATTCTATAACCACGTTCCTTTCTGTTTAGCCAAAATGGTGAGACAGCAGAAAAGGGAGGGAGAGAACAAGCCGCATATCAAGCGACCAATGAACGCGTTTATGGTTTGGGCGAAGGACGAGCGACGAAAGATACTCAAAGCCTGTCCTGATATGCATAACTCGAACATATCCAAGATACTCGGTAAGTACTTGCTCGTTCCGTCGCACCGTCGCACTAGACGGAACTTCAGTTTAATGTATTCCTGAGGAAATTACCAGCGAACACGCGTGTGATCAATATCCTGTCGCGTTGCAGGGGCTCGATGGAAAGCTATGTCCAATTCTGAGAAGCAGCCCTACTATGAGGAACAGTCGCGGCTCTCGAAGCTTCACATGGAGAAGCACCCGGATTACAGGTACAGGCCACGTCCCAAGCGCACGTGCATCGTCGACGGGAAAAAGATGCGGATCTCCGAGTACAAGTCCTTGATGCGTCAAAGACGGCAAGAGATGAGGCAGCTCTGGTGCCGTGACGGAGGACCGGAAATGGGATTCCTCTCGCCCGTTAGCTCGGAGATGAGCGGGCAGCATCCAGGGGGCGCTGGACCTTCCGCGACGCCCTCGGTTTCACCTCCCGCCACGATGCTCAACGGAGCCGGTCCTAGCTCGGATCATCCTTCCTTCTACTATCCTCAGGACAGCCTCTCGCCCACGGACATGATGAACTTCTCGCCCGACAACTCGGGCTCGATGGGCGGCTACGACGCCAGTCCGCGCCATCACGACGAGGATTGAACCGTGGCTCCGGGTCAGCCCTTGTGGCCGCCCGGAGCTTCCAAACTCGCTCGCGAGTTGTTCTGGTAACCAAAGTTATCTGCTCGACCGTAACTCCTCGGCGCTGCCGTCGGTTTCGTCGGCAGCTCCAGAACAGCCGGACACTGCTAACGCCACGGAGCTGGGCCGTCGGACTAGATTGTGATAACCTTTAAATCTCTGTGCCATCGGACGACAAGAGTTACGGCGTCAACGGAACCTGAGTTTCCAAATACGTAAGCCGCTCCGAACGGAAGAAGCGTCCCGTGGCTTTTCTTCGGATCGAGGAGAATCACGACGTGCGACTTTCTTCGGGAACGGACCGGGACTCGTGTGAATAGTCAGACGACGAAAGTAGTGCATTGAGACACGGGGATATGTAAAAATTCGAAAACTTACAGTCGACGTGCGTTCATGAGAACACGTCGAACGATCACTCGTAATCAGTCTAATAATCAAAAAGCAACCAATAAAAAGAAACTGACGTCTGATAAACATGATCGTCACGTAAGCTAAGGCAGAAAGAGGGGACGAGTAGCGCTCGCAATGCGCACGCATCGGTGTAAGTATGACGTAAGCAGAGTGAACGTAATTAAACGTATACATATAGCTAATCTTTGTAAGACTGCACAAGTCATTGTGCGTGCTGACTAGCGTGATTGGAGGTTACCTGTGTTAATGCTCCATCGAACTCACTATCGTTAGACTGCGCCAGACGGGCGAATCGCTACGCAAATACATAGAAAAATCAACAGGACACGTGCTGCGCGGCAAAGTCTTGTTCCTATTCCTTCGAGTGTACGTGAGCGCATGCGCGCGCGTGTCTCTCTGCGTCTCTCACGCTACCTTCTACTACGCGTGCCTCTTCGATCTATGGCTCTTCCCATCGTCACCCGATCGGCTACCGACCAGGCTGATCTCTTATGTTTCGCAAAGTTGTATCTAACCAACCTGCTCTACCTTACCGACCTACCAATGGTATTCGTACTGTCAAGGCTTACCCTCGTCCCTCGTCACTTCCTCGGGGGATTTCGAGGGATCCACGTGACTCTCGGGGACGCGACAAGACACAAAACACGGCTGTGTCCGTGCAATTAGTTGCGCCCATAATTGTGCATGAGTCTGTGCCGAGTTGTGATTGTCTCTGGGAAGAATAGATGCGAGCGACGGAAGGGGCATAGGCTGCACGGAGAGAGCGCAGTGATAGGGAAAAAGAGGAATGCAGTAGAGGAGAGAGAAAAAATATGAAGAAAGAGAATTGTGACGACACGAGACGACGCGACACGACAAATCACGACTTTCCACGCGTTAAGATAACGACTTTGTATACCCTAGGAATGCTTAGTACTTATAGTATTTTCATTATTAATTTATTGACCATAGCGTTATGACTTATGACGAATAATACGAGGAAAATACGCGAAGAACAGCGACGTCAATTTTAGTACACTGTTATGCATTGTAAAAACGATGAGAAATTAATGTTACTTATTGGTCGATCTAAACTAATCGTCAAATCATTAGCCGACGTTATATTATGTTTACTTGTCGATACATTCTTTTAATGTAAAACTTCATCCTCGATAAAGGATGCGCTCCTTATTCCGGCGCTGAAATGAGAGACGGCGAAAAAGGAAAAAGGAAAAAGGAAAAAGGTGGCAGAGGATAGGGGATCGAATAGGTGAGAGAGCGAATGCGTGCGCGTACGTGCCTGTGTGTCTCTGCGGTAAGTGAAGGAGGTGGTGCAGGTCGTTACATGCTGGAGGATGGTGAATAGAAATTTGTCAAGTCGCAGCTCACGATACAATCTAACGTGGATAAAGGAGGGACAATTAATGGACGGATCGATATAAGGGATTACTGGGCAATCACGACGGGAGCTTGATGTGATAATACTAATGTGCCAAATAGCGTTTTTTGAGGGCAGGAGGTAATCGAAACCTCCAATTCCGAGTCAACTCGTTGGCCCGATGTGAAAACTCGATATACTTTACGTCTCTTCTTTTTCACTTTTTGTTATTTATAATCAGTGCAATTATATACAAGGTACCTAATATAATTTTATAAAAAGAGCCAGTATCCTTAAAATATCTGCGCCACCGTAGATGCTCACTACAACCGGTGACAGGTAGGATAGCTTAATGTTAATAATATTTATTTGATGTATATAATGGATTTGTACAATGCGTCGGTCGTGTCCCTCGATCTGGAAGCCGATGCAAGCGTCAATATTATTAATGTACAGTGTAACTATATTAATTGTGATGTACCTACGTAGCTATACAGTATGTATGTAATTACTTCACATACCTAGATTAATAATGTTAATCACTTCTATTATTATTCCTGCTTATTATTATATTATCATCATTATTATTATTATTATCAATATCATTGTCATTACGGACGTTATCTTTATTATTACTATTATTAAATTTATTATTATTTTTATTACTATTCTGATCACTACTACTGCTACACTTTTACTAACGCCGATGCTGCTGCTACTATTAATGTTACTGCCATTACTACTTGCTGCTGCTCCACCTACTACTACTCCCAGACCTCTGTCGTTTAAGTAGTTAAACTATTTGGCCCGTATACAGATTTTTACTTTGTCAAATGACGCCTCCAAGGCAACGGTAAGCAAATGATACTAAACGATTACTTAATTCTAAGATAAACATGGACCGAATAAACGACACGAATACGGACCGTAATCTCCGGCGGTAGAGAGATTTTACGTGCCAGTGTAAATGACAACATTAGGTTCGTTGCTCCGTTACTCGAATACTCATTCAAATATCAATGTTAAGCCACGCCACTTGAGGCACGTTGCTTCGTGCATTTTACAAAATGAGTATACTTTTGTAATCGTGATTCTTATCAGGATTATACTATTGGACATTATATTTATGTTACGCTACACTGCTTTACTATACGTCATTCAGCGAATGCCTTTACACCTCTTTTTTTTTTATTTGATTTTTGATTGAAATTTACCTGCATGAAATTCGACTAAATTCCAAATTATTTCGTTGAATTCGAGCTTAGACATTCATTGGCAAACATACGTTTGTCGATTCCTGGTTCTTTGCTTCATTGATCGTCAGGTACGGTGAAAAAGATTGTGAAAACTGTTGTTGTTTGTAGTAGGTGAAAGTGGACCGGGGAAATATCGTCCGAAAAACACCTTCAGCTGACGTATCGCTGGTGTTTATTGGCGTGCATTTTATTTTTCAATGTGCCATATTTTCTGTAATATCACATTTTTCTTTGCTTTACAATCGTTTACATTAATCGTGCGCAAGTTTACTTTGGGTAGCTCACACTCTCTCCCTTTCTCTGCGCCCTCTTGTCTTTCCCTTCTTTCTCCTCTGGCATTAAGCACTCTCAATTTACTTCTAAGTCAATAACTCAAAATCGCACCTTTAAGACGGAAACATATTTCGAAATTTCAGTTTATTGGCATTTTGCAATTTCGTTGCATTTTGCCTTCTTTTTTTTTCTCACGGTTACTGAGAACCCGTCCTTGGCTGCTCGTCCTTGTGAATAGCACTTACTGTCTACTCGATCACTTAGTTACAACTAGTTTACCGACTCTTAAAAACATCCGCTGCGCGAACACGAACTGTAAGAATAGTAAATTGTAAATCGACTACACTACTCATATTATGGTATATCTAACGTAAAAATGAACTAACATCCAATCTCAATATTCCAAGCATTCACTTCATTTATACGTAAGTTGTTGTTAATGATATGAAAAAATATATATATATATAAAATAAAATAATGCTTTACCTAATTTCGGACTTAGTTCTAAGTACAACGTTAGTCTACGAGAACTTGTATGTATGAGCACGGTGTACATAGATATGCAGTACTGGATAAATGGACTCGAATTATACAAAGTACCGTATGCAAGCGTGGATGCCATTGATATTCTCTAGTGGCCCTCGTAACAATACTTATCGAATAATCACACTTTCCGTCACACAGGTCACGAATTCGGTTCGGTAAAAGACAAAATCAAAACTCCAATCTATATGCGCATCGCAATTGTTTAGGTGTTTCGTCGTTTTTCCAGTTGACGCAGCCATTATACAATTTCGATAATTCCATATGAATGAGTAGAGTACGGAGCGTCTGAACGAGGGTGTGCTCTTTTTTTTCATCAGTGTTGTTATGTGGGCTGTGCAACATATGTAGGATATAGTGAAATAAATGAAAAGTCACCACTAGGAGAAACGCATGGTACATATAGTATGTAAATCCTCGACTCTTCTATCGACTCTTTCAATCCCTTGATTGCTTGCCACCTTTTCATTTTTTGCATGCCAACGTGTAAAGAACCTCTCCTTGAAACTCCTCGTCATCTCACGCTGAAAATTCTACTCTTCAATGATTTATATATATATATGAAAATGAACGAGCCAATGAATCATTTCAGATTTCATGCGTATATACGTGATTGTGTAGAATATGATGCAAAGTGGAGGTAAGACTTCGATATTATAAGATATATGTTACGTGTAGAATCTTATTCTCGTTTCTGCATCGCATTGTTTATACGTCATGTACATACGCATACGAGATGAAATTGTACGTCGAATGAAGGTGGTGCTGTACTTTCGGAAAGAGATAGAAAAAAAAAAAGTGTCATATGAACAATTTTATTCGGCGACGAATTCGTTAAATTGTGCGTGAATAGACATCGCGAAATAGTTGACTCAGGACTCCGTTTTAGAATCAGAATGGAACCAATCGACGTAAAGATGTTTATCGTTCGCAGTGCAATAATCCTTAATAGCTCGAAATTCATTGATTCTAGATGTCACTTCTCTTCGCTGATAATGACATCAAGATGCATTGTATCGCATAGGAAACAGTTCTATTATAAACACACAGATATATCATTATATTTATTATAATAATTTAAAAATTAGGTACTCTTTGTTGTTTGTATTTTACATGCGTAATCATTATTATATTACATATAAATAAATACATATATAAATGAATTACATTACTCTGTACGTATGGTCGTGCCTTGAAGCCTCGCCCCTTTATTATATTCCCCACGGTCATCGTCATCATTTCGCATGAAATGCATTAGAAAAAAAAAAAATACAAGAACGATGAAATTCTCAGATACAGAATCATACTGTGAATTTTATTTAATGATAATGCAAATACATGGTTAATAAAAATAAGGTTTCGTCTATTTGCAATTCACTACCTCCTAGTTTCTTTATTGTATTTTGTACTTTCTCAAGCTGCAATTTTTCTGACGGTGTCATCATTTCAACGATCTGCCAAATAAATTATATTAATCTGTTAGTTTTAATCATTTAATCGACTCGATACTGGAACAGTGTTATTGGTTCTTATTTTTGGTAAACATATATAAAAAATATTACAGAAAATCTGTAACGAAGCATACCTCGGCTAGTTGCTCTTCCGTAGCACCGTGTTCCTTTAAATTACTCGTCAACGTTTGTATTCTTAATTGTTTATCTATCATTCTCTTGTTACTCGCGGATTCCTGTTCTCGTCGTTGTATCGTATTGTAAAGTGCGTGGTAGCAGTGTTCTATTTCCATACGTACAACCTGATTTAAATCAATGTAAAATAAGAAAAATGTCTTTGTCGGAGCAGCGGAGGCTCCTGCTTTCTTTAATTCTTGCATCTGTAAATAATTTTCTTGTAATAAAGTGTAAGTTAAATGCTTTGCTTCTTTCGCCGGGATCATCGCTAACTGTTGAATTTGTTCTTGTTCTACGTATTTCCGGGAACGGACCAACCTGTAAGTACCCAAGTATGTTTTTAGTAACTTACTTTACTATACAGTACAGTACAGTTTCGTCTAAAAGGATGTGGTGCCCAGAAAAAACTCGCAAAGTTACCTAAATATTCTGGCAGCTTTAGAGCCAAACCTCTCCATTACAATATTTTCTACGGTCGTCCAAGCCAGTTGACTGAAAGCTTCCTTCGTGTTGATACTAAATTGGCCGCCTCCTGAATCGCCCACGCGTTTTAAAAATTGACTAGAATCTTCCTCTGAAATTGCAATTTTTTTTAGTATTTAGTCTATTAGTATTTGCCGAAGATTGGCAATTTATTATTAAGAAAATAGTACTTTCGTATTTAAACACTTGTTTCCCTCCGGCCTAGTTCTCCATCTCTTGAATGCGCAAATAAAAATATCATAGGTAGACAAAAAAATGTCGATATACCATGATAAAGTAACGATTTTTAATTTTATTTTTCACCGTTCGAAAAAAAAAAATATAGCAAACATAAACAAATAGAATATAAAATATTTACATCTATTTGTAGTGTGTCTAGTAAATGTGCAATACTTTTCTTAGTCCTGCATAAACATGCCTATTTTCAGAACCCTAGTGTTACACACTGGCGCGAATCGAATGGCAATGATAACAGTGACGAAAGAATATTTTTTTCATCATAGTACCAATAGGCCGGATCAGTCGATACCTTAGCTGGTGCAAATTCGACCAGTGTAATTGCGAGGTTAAATATTAAGACAGTTACCATACCAAACATTTGTCGGATATAGTAATTGAGTAGGACCCAGCAGCGGCAGTAGTGGGGGTGTCGAGGGCCAGAAAGGTCTGGAAGGACCAAGGAGTGGGGAGTAAAGAAGAGTGGGGACGTCGTAGAGACAGTAGAAAAAAAAGGCGAGGGAGTAGTGAGTGTGTGCGGAGAAAGAGAAAAACGAAAGATAGATACGTCGTAATATTCTTTGATGCTAAATGTTATTTTGTTCCTTTAATAAAGGAAAGTTAGATTTTACAAGAAAATAACTGCTTGTAATATCCAATCCCTACACATTTATGCGACATTCGTATAGACCTAAAAAAGCAGGAAACGAACAGCAAGTAGCGACCAATGAGAAATTTTATTAATGTTATTAAAAATTATTCATGTCGTCAAAGCTCGATATCTTTGTCCATTGAGCATCTCTATAGCCGTTCACTTTCTGATTCTATTCTGGAGAAACCAAAAGTCTAAGAAACTGGCTTCATAAAAATAAAACAATTACTTAATTGCTTGAAGGGTACCACAATGAAGGTTTTATGCACCCAGCTGTCGATAAATTAAGTATTTGGAAAAATCACTCAATCAATGTTTCAACATCAATACAATACAAGATAAAGTCCAGTTACTGACAGGGGTATCTTCACCATAATTGGCTTCGACTATTACTCGATAAGCAGCCAATAGCAAGGCGGCGTTAGCCTTTTAAGAAACTTTTTTTTATCCCTATGAATTGTGACGTGATTTTTCGAATCACGGTCCCAAGGCGGCTCCGGTTACCGATACAGATAACGTTCTCGATTTCTGGTTCCCTTCGGGACGCTACCCTGCTCAGACGCTACGGATCTATTCTCGAGCTACGGCTATAGCTATAGCTCGCTACGAATCTCGGGTTGATTCGTAAAGTTATGTCAATGCTCTCGTAAGATGTCGTTATTGTTTAGTTGAGGTCGAGGTGCTCGAATCTGCCGTGGGCAGAGAGTCTCGACGTACCGAGTTGCCCGGCAGAGGAGAGTACCCGACGGAGACGTCTCCACGGACCGGCAGAAGCCCGGGTGAAACACCGGCGCCCCGCTGGAGATGGGCAAAGGGCTGTAGAGCGGGCGGAGATAAGGTTTTGCTAAGATTAAGGGCAAGGGAGGAACCTCCTGTCCGAGTTAAGGATGTGGTGCCCAGCTGTCGCCCGATGCTCTGGGGAAGCGGCCGTGGACGATCTCCAGGAGATACGTACCGATTCGCTAAGGAACGCTCTCGATTTGGTTTAAAGGGACGACTGGAAGGAGATAGAAGAGTTATCGGTTATAAGGCTCTCGACCAATCAGAATGATTGATTTTCGGATTTGGCATTTGACTATTGTCAATCGACTGCTTTAAAGCAGTGTGTCTCGGGGCACCGACCGAGGTGTCACGGGGGACATCGCGCTCCCGTGCTATCTGTTGATAGTTTTTCTTGCCGTGTTTTGCTACGGTATAGCAAGTTCTTGATTCGTATAGTTCTCGCGTTGTTCTCGCGATATCCAGACAATTCTATGAATTCCTGTGAGTGTTCCGGAGGTGTAGTGCTGTGCCGTAGTGCAGTGTCCACCAGAGTGTCCTTTGGATACAGTTCTCGGCCTCCACGGATTAGCTGCACCAGCTCCGGTGAGTGCTCCGAATTTATTACATGGTGAAGGGATTTCGATTTTACGACGAAGGGATTCGTCGCTCTTTGTCTCTCGCAGTATTTGCCAGTTGCGTTTGCTGATTTTACGCGTCCCCGAAAATCGACAGGATCCGTTAAGCTATGGCCTCGTCCGATAGGTTCCGTCAGAGTTCTCGTTTTGGTGGAGTTGGGCCTGTTCCACCCCAACTCCCAATTTATACCGGCTCGTCAGTTCCCGGTGAAAAAAGAATTGGCTGAATAAGAATAACTTTTTTGGGGGCTACTATAACCGCGAAAAAATTGGTACTACAAACAACTACACACCAAAATCTATAAGTCTACAAAAATTTTAATTTTCCAAAGTCGGGTGCCAAGTTCACATAGCTCAATTGCGTCTGTGCGCAACTGGATCCCATCCAGTATTAATCTTTTGAAGCATAGTGACATACTGGTATGTCACCTACTTCCACTCTGGTTTTCTTCCATAAAAATTTTTTTAGCGGATAACGACAAATGTAAATGTATATTCAGGATGTTCTGAGATCAATTGTTACTACAATTCGACTATTAAGGGTTTATGTTTTACTTAGTGGATGTTAATAACAAGTATAATACAAAACCACGTTTTTTAGACCATAAATGTAATTGTGGTTAATCCAGCAGGGAAACAATAAAGAAAATATGGGTACGGAGATTTTTTTTGGGTCGCTTATTGTGAATCCGAGCTCAAAATGCAGAAATTTAAAATGGTGGATCCAATATAGCGGACCAAAATGCACAAAGTAGCTTGATGAAGATAAAACTCGGTATCCGGGGGTTTTTTGGGTCGTTGATTACGAATATGAGCTTAAAATTCAGAAATCCAATAGGGCGGACCAAATTACACCAATTAGAGTTATGAAGATGACCAATTTTCACTTTCATCAAATGTTTTCTACCTTTTGGTTCGCCATATTGGATCCACCATTTTGAATTTACAAATTCTGAGTTCAGATTCAAAATCAGTTAATTAAGAAAAAAAAGGTAATAAAAAATGTAATCATTATTACAACTTACCGAGAAGCCTCAAATATTGATCTAGATATTGAACGAGTAACGGATAATTTATTTTTCGTACAGCTTCTTTTATTTCACTGTATGGTATAGGATTTGAGGTGTCAGCCCATGATGCTGTACGTAAGTACATTAGAAACAGTAATTGCCTCATTAATTCTCCAGCATTTTCATCCACTCTTTTGGTTATTGCAGATACCATGATTTGATCTCTGTAATACAAAGTTTCAGTTCTATCACAATGACACAATTAATGTGTTAAGTACACATATTTCAAGTAACAATACATTACCTAAGGTCTTGTTCGAATCTATCAAGATTAACTCTCCAATATATTTTATTATCACCAGGATCATCAGTGTTACCTTGCATTATTTGAGCCATAGCCTGCATATTTAAATCTGGCACATTGCATTCGATTTTCTCAGCAGGACCTTCATCCATGGTTTCTGTACATATACTGCGTGTCAAAAATTGATTCTTCACTAATAACTCAAATTTGTCCTTCAGCATGGAAAGAGATGACTGATGTTCGGCTAGAACAAATTCAATATTAAATAAGTAAAGATTTATGTTACAAGTTTGGGTCTAACGTCATATTAGCTGCTAGAGAACATATAAATCTTTTTCATTAATAATACTTGAAATTACAGGCGATTTTAGAAAATCTTTAATACACCATGCATGCAATAAGAAACTCTTACATATATTACTATTGAAATATGTTCCAATTACAGATTTATTCAAATGCCAAATAAGTGAGAACGAAATAATTCAGTATGTAACAGCCTGTTTTTTGCCAAAATTAAAATATTATTTAATATTTTGGATGCACTTATAGAAACTTTTCTGACTTTGCGCAATATAATTGTCTTCTGGCTATTGCTATAGTGATTTATTAATAGTTTTAACCTCTAACAAATACATATTCAGTATTTGACATTGATATTAAAAAATTTGTCTTGACAGATTAATCAGATTAATTAAAGACGATGAAAAAATAAGGGTAACAAGACTCCTCATTGATTAGCTTCCTGAGTTTTCAGATATTTACAACTGATCTGAAAAAGCTGTAGAAGCCATATTTAATTCTAGCTGTCGGAGATAATATAAAACACATTATATGTGGGAATAGTCGTCTGCAGGTTTTTAACTTACATTCTTGGCGCTAACAGTTTACAATCATTCACAATTAACAAAAAAGTAATTGAAATACCATATAAATTATGATGAATAATTTTTATTAACCCTTCGCATTCGACTGTCTCCTCTCCTCTCATTAAAATATAATACTTCTAAATTTAGAAAATAGTGTGATAATATGATGCCAATTAAATAGTATTAATAAATTTGGTCAAACCTATTGTCAAGTATTAAAGGCACAAATATATTATGAATAAAATAGTTACATCATATGATATTAAAAATTTATGTAAAAACCATACTCACAACGATGCTGTTCCAATCTATGAAACGTTTTGATTATAATTTGAGATGCGGTTTCATATCCTCTTTTCAATACTTCTTCTAACATCATTTCTGCTTCATCCCCACAAAATTTTTTAGCAAAAAACATATACCTAGAAAAATAAATATAATGCCAAATAGCACAAGTTCCAAAGATTTCAATCAAATATCTGTAGAACGTCTTTATGTCCTGCTTTTTGATATCTTACAGATGACTAATATCTAAGAAAGACATCTTTCTAACACAAGAAGTCTAGATGTGAAAAAGCAGGACATAGGACTTTCTGAAGATTTTTTATCAACATCGCTATAATTTGTGTTACCAGGGCTTTTACAGGATATAAACATATCCTTTTTACATATGTCAAACTTTCTTACAACTATGAAAAGTTCAAAGATGTTATTGTATTTTAAAAGATATATTACAATATAGATGAATAAAATAACAATACTCCAAGGGATCTATTGCAAGTCGAATAAATTAAATAATAATATTATATACCTAACTATTGAGTCCAACTACACCATCAAAATATGATTTTACTGTAACAATGAAATGAATGCAATAATTTAAGATGGTGCATTTTTATTGTAAGATGCATATGTAATCTGATATGAAGTATTTTAAATTACCTTGGGTATCGTAAGATGGTTATAACCTTATCAGGAAGGAAGTGATATTGTATTCCTTTCTCAGTCTGCCGATGTATAGCAAAGCCATATTGCAAAAGAACACATAATGCTTCTTTGACCTAAAACAGGCATGAGTAATAAATACAATAATTACGTACAACATTACATTATTACATACACATTGTATGTCACAAAAATTATAAACATATATTTTTAAGTTTACATACCTTTGGCAAAGGTAATCCTGTTGTAGCTCGAATAAATCCTAGAGACTTTGCACCATGTTTAAATAAGTCATCTCCAACTGATTGAACTATAGGTCCAAAGTGCTCCAATAATAATACAGAGCACAATTTCTCACAAAAAAGTGACATTATAATTTTATGACTGTCAATTTACAGAATTTTCAATGAAAAAATCATTTGATAATCCTTTTATCTGTTAACCACAATACTATAAAACAACCTAAATTTCTATAATGTATTAACACTAGCAATAGGAGTATTTATATTTTTCATGAATAATATTTATCTTTATAGATTGGATTTTGGTCGGTTTTTGTGTAAGTTCGTTGAATTCGTGCACATAACCACTAGTTGGTTTTAGGTTATTTCTAAGTTGGTTTAGTCCACGTGGAAACATTCGTGGAAAGGCTGACTTGATAAAAAATTAGTAACCACTTATAATCATTATTATAAAAACTAGTATTAACCCTTTAATCGACTGTCCTGTCTCAGGCATTAAAAAAAAATATAGAAAATGGAGAGATGTTAAATGCAAAGGGTTAAAAGTTCACAACTCCTTACTTTTTATCCCTGAACTATACTCAATGTGGCACGCGTCCACAGTAATAAAAGCGTGCAAAAGCGCGGGCCGAGAGAGATGGCCGATATAGTGGACGACCTCTTCGTTTTTCAAGACCGTATAAAGACGTCCGACGTTTCGAACCAGAAAATTTCGTAATTTTTTTGACGCGGGTACATTAAATGAATTTCAGTGGCTATGTAAACAACTTAACGTTCATAAATAAATGGTAAATAACGAGTAGAGAATATTTTTTTATAGATAACTTGTTCGGTCACAACAAAATGCGACACTATTTTCTATATATTATGACGCAATTACCTGTGAAATGAAATGGTGCTGTTAGGCCGCCACTCTTGCTTACACGATTTAATATAACACGATTTCACCATTTTTGTGGATATATCAAACCTCACAAATATTGTTGAACCTCACTATCCACGTGTTCATTGCAAGTTGTAACAAGAAAGCATCTACAAAAGGGCACCGGTGCATTTCAGAGATGATAGGTTGTAAGGTGGTATGTACGCTCCTGTCTGGTACGGTATCTATGGAAACGAGACGCCAAGTCTAGGAACCTCATTGGCTAAAACGCTTAGAAAAAAAGATGGATCCCACTATAAGAATGCTATCTCCAAGTTCCAGGGCTATCTCTCTCGGCTCGCACTTTTACTAACTATGGGCGTATTCCATATTGAGTATAGTTCAGTGTTTTATATGAGGAATGAATAACTACCTAACTATACAACTCAACTAAAATTGAGTGGTTCTAAAGCTACTGTTAATCAGCAATTGATTTTTAACTCCCAAATGTCGGCCTGCTTGAAAGCAAGTCCAGAAGGGAAGTTATGTGTTTCATTCTGTTACCTTTTTCGGTACTGCACAGAACTGTAAAATTATTATTACAAGATTATTTTCATTTTATTTTTAAATTATAATTATATAGGTGGTTGATTTATATGGACATTATTAGTAACAATATTTGTCCATAATTTATGTAAATTGCATCACTCGTAACAGTAATGACTGCTTTTATGCAATATAATATAAATGTACAAGTACTTATACTTTTTTCACATTTAAAAATTATTTTCATACAAATTTTAGTCGATTTCATTTGCGTATATGATAGCTTGTCGGAAGTCAAATAAACGGATAATGAACCGGTACGAGAATATAGAAGGGAACGCAATGTCCTATTGATATAATATTTATCCTTTGCTGATCGCTTACTGCTCCAATCAGCCAATATAATCATCGTAACTAATTATCATAGTAAAAATCATGGAACTTACTCCTGGAAGGGGAATAGCCTACTCTAGCAATGAGTGGAAAGTAGCTCCAACATGTTAAGACAGAGATAAGTCTTTCTCTTCGTTCGTAACGTACAATTCTTCTCACTGCGTACGCGCGCACTACATCATAACAACGGTTGCCTCCAATCGAATTTCTCCAGTCTTCATTGGTCTTCGTATAACTCACGTTTCGCGTTAGATTGGTTAGGTTTTGTTAGGTCAGTAAAATTGTGCACTTGCGCAGTGAGGGGGACTGGACGTTACGAAATGAGAAAGAGATATATCTCTGTTTCAACATGTTGGGACCACTTTTAACTGCGCCATTCCTCTTCCAGAAGTATAAGTTGTATGGTAAAAATTCACCAATTAAATTTTACCTACATATACCTACATACTAGATATCTTTACGTCGGAATTGCACGCGTGCGATGTTGAGATTACGAGTGATATAACTAAAAAAAAGTCTTATAAATATATTATATAAAGAATGTATATACATACATATCAGAACAAAAAATCCACGGTACAGCTATAATTTCAAGTGACAATAACGGTTGTATATAGTTGAGCAGGTGGAGAGGTGTCAAATGATAATAAATACTGATATGTTGTTTAAAGTTCCCGCCGCCGTGGCGTTAGAATTTCCGGCGGAACAGCATTGTCGCAGATGATCACGTGATCGAAGATCGACTTCTTCGTTTGTGGCCACGAGGTTTTGTGGTGAAAATTAAGTGTACCGGGTGGAAAAGGCCCTTTATTTTTGTATTTATACAAAAATGCCCTCCAGCAACCCTTTGCCACCCAAAGAAAATGCTTTGTTTAAACGAATTCTGGTGAGTAACGGCCAACCAAAATACTATGTTTTGGACCCCACTCCCCGGCTAATAGAAGTTTCGTCGTGTTCTAATGATGAAGCAGTCTTCGAAAAGTACTAAAACCTCACTGGCAACAGTGAGTTACATTGATTTTCAATGTATTATTAATGAACGATTGAATGCCCCGCTTGAATCCTTATACTGCAATAGCTGCCACTTAGGTACTGCGAGACACTAATCGTTTCATGAAAAATTCTCAGCCTCTGAAAATACATTTAACTTTTTTTTACAGAAATGTTATGAACATAAACAGTACAAAAATGGGCTAAAGTTCGCAAAGCAAATCCTTTCAAACCCAAAGTACAGTGAACATGGGGAGACTTTGGCGATGAAAGGTCTTACTCTAAATTGCCTAGGACGCAAGGAAGAGGCTTATGATCATGTACGACGTGGGCTCCGAAATGATTTACAATCTCATGTCTGTTGGCATGTTTATGGGTTACTTCAACGGTCTGACAAAAAATATGATGAAGCTATCAAATGCTATCGGAATGCACTCAAGTGGGACAAAGACAACATTCAGATACTTAGAGATTTATCATTATTACAAATTCAGATGAGAGACTTGGATGGTTATAAGGTTGGTATTTCATAAGTCAATTTTTCTAAAAATTATATTCTTGAATAATACATAATAGAATAAGTAGTATATCGATCGTAAAGCATCAAGGTAAAAGTATTTTTTGTCTGTAAATTTTATATTTTGATTTAAATTAATTGAAGAATCTTGAACTGTTAATTTTATAGTTCAGTCACATTATTTTTGGATTAAAAATATTGATTTTATATTTTTATTATGTACTCATGAACAAAGATACAATTTTGTGTCTTTTAAAATAGCTTATGTTTATAAATTTATTATACTAATAACAATTGTCATTATCTATTGTTATTGGTTATGTATAATCAATTGTTTTTCCAGATGTTAAGTATTTGCAGCCAGGTTAAAGAATAATATTACATTTAAATTTCGATATGTGATATTATGGCAACATTTTGACAAACATCAGTTATCAGGAGATGAAGTCACTTCGTCAGATCAGCTATTTGGTCCTTGTCGTCCAGTCGCCATGTCTTATCGTTTAATGATTGTCTGGTATTAGAATTCCAATTTTCTGTTTCTGAAAAAGCAAGGATTATACCCTGACTTGATGTACCTTCCTGGGCCATTTGATTTCTACTTCTTTTTATACCATTAACTATTCTTCTTTTTAATATCTTCTGACAATTGATGTTTATAAAAATGTTGCCATAATATAAAATATATAAATTTTAATATAATGTACCCGAAGAAGACCCAAATCACGCGTCGGAATGTCATAGAACAAATTTAGTCAGTTTGCTTTACCCAGGTTGCAAATGGTCAACATCTAGAAGAATAATTGATTGCTATTAACGTTCAGTCTATGTATTTAGTAGTTCAGACCAGATGATTGTTGTTTATTAAGTAATATTCAAATTGCAAAATGTTATTTACACCTTCAACAGTGTCTAAGTAAACTAATTGTTCTTCCATTTGATTTGTTTTTTGAATAATTAGAAAAACATGTTAAAAATACTGTTATTGTTAATGATTAATCTTCAGTAAATGTTTTTATTGCTTTACATACCATGCAAATGACTTATGGAATGTTAATTACTTTCAACATTTTTACTTGCTTCTGTATATTGAATTTTCAGCGATTAATTTTGGGCATTTTGCAAGTAATACTTGACACTTGTTTTTGCATTGTAATATATTTTGTCTGAATTTGAAATATTAATCCAATAATTGTATTGATTCCATCTAATTGCTAATTACAATATCAAAATGTATTTTTGCAAACAATTTTGGAGTATATTCCATTTCATATTTAATTAATTGTGAACAAAATTATTACTAGGTATTAACGTAAAAACGATAACATATTCATTTTATGACATGAAATAGGTTTGATATGTATTGTGCCTAAGAAAAGAAAGTTGTGAACTGGACGCTCGCTACTGTTCTTAGTTTATATAGAAAAATTTCTAAAATGTTGATTCATAAATGTTTATTAGCATAGTGAGTATACGATAATTCATTAAGAAGTAAGTTTTTTCGTTTAAATTTCATTAGAATTATCTTCTTACATCAACTATGCGATATTTGCGTTGCACCCCAATTGTAAGGTACTTTTAATATGAATTTTATAGGTTTGGGAAAAGTGCATAGCTGTAACAAAAACTTTAATATTAGATTTATCAGCTTAATTTTAGGTTTTCAGAAATTAATTACGTTATCATTATTTTACCATTACCTGACAATTTTGTATGAATTGCTAAAAGCAAAATGCCATGAGGACAAATTGAATTTCATGAGTGATGATACAAATATCTCATGTTTAATGATGTGAGCACTATGTATTGAGGTATTTATAAATATATATTTTTCAGGACACGAGATACCAATTATTTATGCTACGGCCAGCCCAACGGGCTTCATGGATTGGTTTTGCCATATCGTATCATTTACTGAGAGACTATGAAATGGCCCTTAAAATTCTAGATACGTTTCGTAATTCTCCAATGGTAAGTGTGTCGATGTATTTCAAGTTTTAATTTAAGACATTAAGTCATACGTGGGTAACACAATCGATCAGAATGTCTTTTATCCTTTTTCTAACAAAATATCTGTAGTATAGAATTTAGGGGTTCTCTATGAAAGCAAAATCTGTCAAAGCATTATATAGTTAGCTTTACAGATAATTCTAAAATTATTAATATTCAGTTTTTTTTTTTTTAAGAAAAAAATAAGGTTCAAAAACTTACCTTTCAAAAGAAGGGTCAAATTGCTTAATCTAATTGAATCTGTTCTAAAGGCATGTAGTGTGACTCTAAACATTATCAAATATAATATATAAAATCTCTTCTTCTTTAAGAATAATTCTATAATGTATATTAACTCGAAAGATAGCTAGAATATAATCCGTATTAATAACATAAATATTGAATATTTTTCCTGTCAAAACAAATTAATGTATAATAGTTATATTTGACACATTTCAATGTATCGAAATTAAAACATAAAAATTTACAGATATGCTATGATTATGAACATAGTGAATTACTCCTATATCAAAATATGGTCATCCAAGAATCGGGAGAAAGCGAACAAGCTCTTAAGCATCTTGATAAATACAGCGATCAAATCTGTGACAAAATTACCGTAAAAGAAACATACGGTAAGTTAAAAGAAATCAGAACAATAGTACATACGACAGTAAAAACTTTTGTTATTAGGATTAATTTTAGTTGTGCTCGAATTATAATACCTCTACATTAATTGTCACATGTCTCAATCTATTCTCTAAAGAGTAATAAATATAAGATAATCACAATAAGTTCTGTTGCGTGTATTTTAGGTAAACTGAGACTTGAATTGGGTCAGTATAGCGAGGCTGTTGAAGTCTACACAGACTTATTAAACTTGAATCCTGAAAATACAACGTACTACGCTAGGTTGGCAGAAGCCGAGAGACATGCTGGACCGGAGGATACACTTCGTATGCTACAGCGATACGAGGAACTGTTTCCTCGAGCATTGGCACCCCGTCGTTTACAATTGAACTATGCAACTGGTGATCAGTTCAAGTCGTTAGTTGACCAATATTTGCGAAAAGGTATGTGTTTTTGACGTATGTAATCAGTTTTATTTTTACTGAGATCGCGGCGCCAGAGTCTCGTGCAGTGGAGAAAAAAAATACAAAATATATTGTTACAAACGTAGAGCATGAAATTGAAATTGAGAAAGCAGAATTTAAGATACGGCGACATGCCTCTAATATAAAAAAAATCGGACAATAGCAAAATTATTTATAATCATGCAGCAAAGCATAGTCGCTTACAGGTCATATTTTGTATTACATTTTAAAAGAAGAAAAAAACAAATCTCTTATCCGCTATTAATCTACTGTCGTGCATTTTATTTCTTATAAGATTCTTTACGATGTCACCACGATAGATTTCTCCGTTAATTACGTTGTCATTTAGAAATTGTTGTCAAGAAATTGTTTATGGAATCATAGTGCAAGCAAAAAGCTGAATTTTTGCAATCATACATTTTATTTAAAATCCATTATGATGAATCTGTAAAGGAATCATTTAACGAATAGAATGGATTATGATAGATTATATTGTACAAGCGATGTAGCTTTTTCTTTAAAAAAATGGTATGAAATATTACATCTGAACTACTCTTTTGTTACGTCACTATAAATAATTGAAGGACTATTCATTTTTTACATGTTAGAGGCACATTACTTCCTTTTAACACGAAACATACCATCGACGGGTCATTTAACCCTTTTAAAGCCAATAATACGTCTATAAAAAATTGTCGGTATGTTTAGTGTTAAATCTTGTTTTGTCGATGTCAATGTCGGTTTCATGCGTTACACTTGTAATAATCGATTTTTAATTTTTCTTCTCACGATACGAGACTGCGTCGTTCAAAACTCCTTAAACTACTGTTGTATGGAGTACTATACGGGAGAGGAATTACTTGTTTTGTTTTGTCTATATTTACTTTGTTTTGTCTATATGGTAATCATATGTTGTAGGCCTTCATAAAGGTGTGCCGCCATTATTTGTTAATCTTCGATCGTTATATACGGATCAACAGAAGGTAGATACAATACAGTCATTGCTTCTCGAATATAAGGATGCATTGAAAGTCCATGGTCACTTTAGTGACCAAGAAAAAAAGAATCCGCGGGAACCCGCATCAGCTCTTCTGTGGACTTATTACTACCTGGCCCAGCATTATGACTACCTTGGCTGTACCGAAAGAGCTCTTAAAGAAATTAATGCTGCCATTGACCATACTCCTACACTTATAGAACTCTTTGTTACCAAAGGACGAATTTACAAGGTATGATTAAATTTTAGCTTATTATATATTTAATAATAGTATGTACATTTTTGTTTGTATGAGTTGTGGCTAGAGCTATTATTTTGTTTTGCTATGGGTTTGTTCATATTCTATAAAAGAAACGTCCACTTATCGACAATAATATACTTTATTAAAATCAGGCACGAAGTAAACATTTATTTTTTTGAAAACTCCTACTTCTGCTATTAATAATAGATTTTTTGGCATTATGTTGAATCCAGATCAATAATGACATTTGTTTATATTAGCATTTGTATATAATAATAATCTATTGATGTGATCGTGTCAATAGCATGCTGGTGACGTTCAGGAAGCATATAAATGGCTGGACGATGCACAAGGATTGGATACAGCTGATCGGTACATTAATTCTAAGTGTGCCAAGTATATGCTTCGTGCAAACCTCATTAAGGAAGCAGAAGAAACATGTGGAAAGTTTACCAGAGAAGGAGTTCTTGCGATGGAAAACCTCAATGAAATGCAGTGTATGTGGATTCAAACGGAAGCAGCTAGAGCGTATCAGCGTCTTGGAAAATACGGGGAAGCTTTAAAGAAGTGTCACGAAGTTGATAGGGTGAGGTCGAAAATTTTAACTAAACTCGTTTTTGTGTAATCTGCGTAGTATAGGTAATGATACAATATTTGATAATCATTCATACAATCTTTATTTGTCTTAAACTTGCATTACACGTTCGCGTAGCGAAGGTGATGATTCATTTTTCCATTAATTTTTTGCTGTTCTCATTGATTATTTACATTTTTTTAATAAGTTACGGATATTATTCTGAAGTTTTGCATACCTTAGGCATCGGGAGATGCGTTCCATTTAATTAATTCCTTTGTTGACGGACAGAATTCGATTGGTCTTTTTAACCCTTTGAGTGCGGAGCTCTTCAATTTAAAGGCTTTCCGGACACATATATGTACGTGTAATACTATTCATATACACATGTATGTTTAACGTATGCTATAAATGAGCTTTGTCGCCAGTTACAATTTAAAACTCTCGTAATGCAAGGATTTGAATAATTACACTAAGAAATATAAAAAAGGTTTGTAAACTAGTTTGAAAAAATTATTTCAACCAAAGTGATCACCTGTTTTCTAATCAAGAAGTATAATATCAAGAAGTCTAATCAAGAATATAAGGTAGTTATTTTTTAAAAATAATTTGACCATTCATTTTTTAAATGACTTTTCATTAAATCCAGAAATAAGTGCGTTGCGAAGGGCAATCTTCTTCTTTTGTTGAAAGGCAATAACTAAAATAGAAAAACACTGAAACTCTCTTATATATTTATTTGAAAAAGACTGTTTTCGAGCAGCTAAGCCATTTTTCGAATCTTCATTGAATAAAGAAAAATAGAGATTACTTTTTGATCACTTTCATTAGAGGAACAAAGAGATTACATTTGATTTCGTGTATAGGAAATAGTCAAATTTGAAGAAAAAAAAGTTAAATTTTTTTCTAACTTGAAAATATTATATGTTACAGCACTTCTCGGAAATCATGGAGGATCAATTCGATTTCCATACGTATTGTATGCGAAAGATGACTCTACGTTCGTACGTAGGACTTCTACGGTTAGAAGATGTACTTCGTTCGCATCCTTTTTACTTCAAGGCGGCAAAATGTGCAATAGAGGTCTACCTCAGATTACACGATCATCCATTACCAGATCCGACCCAAGCCCAAGAAATCGACACCGGTGAGTACTTCAAAAACGTTTAATTAATCTCTCTCTGTATGAATGAACTCTTTACATTGCATTGATGTGATACATTTGTATGTGCTACATCCTTACGTTCTTTTCGGTACAGCTGATACTTTTTTGCAGATGCAATTCTCATTTTAGCAAACTACTTATATTTTTTTTTTTTTGCTAAACACAACGTGAATTGAGATTTTTGATAATTCGTTGGGGCTGCGTCGAACGCAAAAATTCTATGAACGCTAAAAATTTCTATGATCCGTCATACGTTATTCGGTCTATCATTATCATTAAACCTTTCAAGTACGTACAACATCGTTACCATTCCATTACTTGTTGCTTATAACGTTATAAGACACAATATTTTAAGTAGCTAAAAGTAAATTTTACAGTGCACACGGTAAACTGCGTCCCATGGTAAAATTTACCTGTCTCCATGTAAAAGTTTGTTGCTTTACAAAAAATCTGATTGATATAACCAAAGAGTGATTTACATTTGTACACCATTGCAAAACTTAGTGTTATTTACACTTACAGTGTAATGCACTATGTATGTAGTTCGATTGGAAAGACCACGTAAAAGTAATAGGAAGAAAGTTAACGATTAGACGCAGAAATCGTTGAATGTAGCAACGAATGGGGTACAATTTATTTATTTAGCAGGAAATTAATGGCTTAATCAGTATGCAAACACTCATTTAAAAATTTTAATTACTCAGAAATTGAAATATTCCAGTTAAGCTCACGGGGAATGGTACCTCTATTTATTTCAATTCGCTTACAACAGAATTATCGTCATTCTGTTAATATTTATATCATCTCTTTTTTTTCACACAACGTGTTAGCGACCAAAATTTATTTGATTATAGACAAGAATTTTGATTAAATACAGTAAAATATACATTTTTTTATACGTCCACATTATTTCTATATAAATTTTCATTGTGTAAGCAGCGTTCTACAGTTTCATAACGATAAAGCATTCAATTTATATTTGAGAAGTAGCTAATTACAAAGCTAAAACAGTCCAATGTGTAGAAGTATACTGATCATTCTACTAATATAATGTCGCAACACGCTTGAATCGTATAATGAAAAATATAAAACTTGTTTTTAGATACAATCGTGCAAGTTTGGCTATCGTTAAAAATATCCTACAGTGAATCCCATCCATTCGTACTTTTGTTGACATATTAACACGCGAGAAATATAATTCCAGAATATTAATTATTATTGTAAAATGACAGACGTATCAAAATATGAATCGTATAATGTAGTATTGCACCTAAACCCAATAGAATGATTCATCATAGTCTTAATACACAGCTTAAATCTCGATACCGTCAATATCAATATACTTACCTCTATATAGTATCTGAAATTACCACTGTACACTCAATATGTACAATTTTTATACACGAGCCTGTTGAGAATAAGTAATACGGTCGCGGGGCTGACACGCATATACACATTTTTGATATCCTTAAATCTTTCATACAGCTTAAAACATTATTTAGTACAGGAAACGATACTAAATGACCATGCAAGTATAATCTAGCTGAAACGATAAATTTGAATAGTTGCCAGCGATTGGATTAACATTAATCGAACTAAGTGTTTGCGTGAAGGAAGTCAAGGAGAAAGGTTCGCCAAGCGGCCAAGTATTCCACGTGTTTGTAAAGAGTACGCCATTCGTACGTACATTTGAAACTTTAATCACAGATAGTACATAAGTATATAAAAGTCAATCACAACCGTGGGAACATTACGTCGCACGCGGATAACAATGCGTATTCATCTAAGAACAGGAAGTTAGGTTAGGTTACATAAATTAAGCATTATCGCAATCGTATTAATAACTAACTTAGTCGTCTATATGTACAGGGAATAAATACTGTAAGCGCGTCGTGCTGATACAGCAATTGCACTTATGACACCCACTTGCTCCCGTGGCATACCGATTTCCATATGGCATCTCGCGATTGCCATTAGATCTCTAGTCTTCTTAAAAGTTATCAGTGATTAGCGGGGCCGCGCCTTCTTCTGATAAGTCTTGGTCCGTTAGGCTTCGGGTAAAGATATCCGCCGTTCTCGTCTTGTTTCTGCGATACTGCCTGGGGCGTCAGGAAGTAGAAGTGACCGCCGCCGTTGCCCGGCAGCTGGTACGCGAAGTACGCGTTCTCTTTGTTTTCTTCTCGACCCCGTAAAGCTCGTCCAATTTGAGGAACCTGAACACCAGTAATCGGACCGATGAACTCTGCATCGGGATTTATATTAGGTCGGGGATTTCGATAATTTACGGCTATATCGTCGGCAAGAGATATCGGTAACGATCTGTAATCTGTTTCACCCGGTTCTTCTGGGTAATTGGAAGGCACGTATCGATTTTCGTGCCAATTATTCTGCTGTTGGTATTTGCGTACCGGAGCAGCAGGACGTTTGCTGTCACTGTTGGGATGTCTCGTGTCTTGAACCGTGTAACCCTGTGGTCGTTGCTCCTTGACGATCGGAGAACCCACAAAGGCAGTGGGTTCGTTTGGCGCCTCTTGAATGATATTTTGACCTTTATAAGGCCGATCAGCTGGCCGCAGTATCTGCTCAATCTTGTAACTCTGCGAGCGTTCGTTAGCTTCTGGCTTTGACACGGTTATAAACTCGCTGTCAGGATTTATGGGCGGCAGTGGATGCTTGTAATTGACGCGGGTGTCGCCTTCCAGGGAGTATGGCCTCTGCGTTTGGTCATTGTAATGCATTTTGACTTTGGCCGTGTGTTTATACATAGCAGTTTGGTGTCCCTCGTGATCGTTTGCTAGGTAAGTGTTTTCATTCTGGTACCGAGGGTTTTCGGTGGTACTGCTCAATGGCGCATAAATAGGCGTGGTACTTACTAGATTATTTACTTCCGGCAATTTTTTCCCAAAAATGTTAAAATACTCTTTCGTTACGTCATCGAGCAACCGTTCGTCCTGCTTAGTGAAGTAAGCATGACTGGGATTTGGCGTCGCTTTCACGACGGGCCGAAGCGTTGTCGTCGAATAACTAGATATCTTTCGAGGCGTCTCATAAGCGGCCCTTTGAGATTGCAATCGTTGCGGGGGAACTGGCTCACTGCCATCATAGTCGTAGTGTTCGTCTGGACTTTGAATATCTTGATATTCGTTGTAAGAAATCTGTTCGCGCCGCGATGGAGGTAGCGAGGTCTCCGACTGATGGTAAGGTTGTTCCTGCTTCTGCTTTCTGTAATCTGCTGCTTCGTAACTGTACTGATAGACGGGCTTCGGGTTTGACGTTTTAATCTCGTAATTGTACGGAGGCTTCTGCAAATTCGAATAATAGTATGGTTCGGGCTTTGGCGCGGCAGAGGGTCCTACGGAAATCGTTTGATAATAAACAGGCCCAGATTCCGCGAGTGCCCGTTGTCTCTGCGGCTGTCCCAATTCCACGTTCCCTTTATTTGGATTCAGTACCACACCCGAGTCCGAGTACTGGTACACGTGTGCATTTTTCGCCAAGGAATTTATGAGCTTGGCGTTGTAGTCCTTAGCTGTTTCCTGGGAAGGTATCGACTCGACTTTGTAGTATTGCTTGTTGTCTTGCGACGGAGGCACGGGTAGAGGTAGCGGCAATGGCAATGGCTCCACTTTGTAATATGGAGATGGCGTGGTGGTCGTGCGGTAGTATATCGACGGTGGCGCCGTGACGGTAGCTGTGGCATCTGTGCTAGGAGTGTCGGTAATACCCGCAGCGCCAGCAGTACCAGAAATCTCGTCACTCGCCTCTTCGTAAAAGTAATAGGAGGATGCCTGATTCGGAAATTGATTAGGTTGCACTGCTCTTGTGTTTGGAGTGACGTCCTTGATGCTGGCTGACGTCACGTCCAGGGGCGAGGGTGTCGTGGCGTAATAAGCCAAAAGGGGAACCGAAGTACTGCTCACCGTTGCCGACCATTGGCTTTTCTCCGAAAGGCTTGATTCTGTCACTTGATTGCCAAGAAGGGGTCGCACGCTATAGTACTCCGCGTTTACAATGTTCGCCGGCTTTTTCGGGGGTAGGGTCGTTCCTTCGTCATACGACGCAGTCTTATAATAGGCTTTTGGCGTGCTTGTCAGGACGCTTGTGGCATTCTTGTGTTTCGTTCTGTAGCTTAGTTTGGTACTGATAGGTGTGGACGTGCCTGCACGATCCCTGTAGGGCTTGGTGCTTATCTTTCGTGGGGGCAGATACGAGGGATGTCTTTTCGGATAATGAGGCGTCGTGTTCGGCCGGCTCTCTTCCGCTTCCGACGTCCGAACGCTTGACGTCGTCGTTGGCAACGTAGTCGGACTTGCAGTCGACGTCGTCGTCGTTTCCTCAAACGGGGAAAAGAAGTCTGGCGGCGGTGGTAAAATAATTCCTGGCACTAGAGGACCTGGCGGTACCGCACTGGTGTTATCTTGAGGATAATAGAATGTATACCGCGGTGGGTAGTATATGGATTGATCATCATCGTCGTAGTAATCCGTTTGATTATTGGGCGGTGGGAGGAAGACCGTGCCAGGTGGCAATCCATGATAAAGGGGGCCTAATGCTCCATCCGTTAGATTTTGCGTGTACGGGAACACGTCCCCGTCGGTAAAGTTGGCCCAACTCGCTAGATACGGCGGGAACGTACCGTTGACCGAAAACGGGAAGAACGGGCCCTCCCCTGGTAGGAAACCCTCCGAGTAGTAGGGGTTAGCGTCGTACTTATTGGCGTCGTCGGGTGCATCGGTGCTATTTGTTTGGATGATCTTGATGGGTCCACCCTCGGTGAGTTGTACGGGAAAGGGCGGCGGTATCTTGGGTCGCGATGGAATTTGGACTTGTCGCTTGGGCGCCTCGTAATTATCGATTGGCGGCCATTTTTGCCTGGAGTTGCCTTGATGACTCGTTCCGTGACCAGGAAAATTTCCACCTCGCAACACCAGTACATGATTTTCCGCCAGCCATATCTCCTCTTCGTCAAGACCACCTAGGTTCTGTGCTGTATCCTTCGGTACCTCGGGATTGCTCGAGTAGCTTATTATACCCGGTCTCTTTGGCTTCTTTGGGTATATCTCATTTTGAATTAGTCCGTATTTTCCTTCCTTCACTTGTTGAGCAAGCGTCTTTTTTTCATCGTCGTCCTCTGCTCGGCTGTTGTTCTTCTTCTCTTTGCCGTTACCTGCCGATGAGAGAAGGAGACCGTCGTCCCAAGCTGCTCCATCGTAAGTCCCTTGTTCACCATGTTGTCTAGAGAGGGACTTCAGATGACCACCGATCAGCCTGTGCATTGTCTTTCTATCCGATCCTGTTCCCGGATCTTTCCTCGTTGCCGATGTTAATCTCCTGCCCCAATGCGAACGTTCTGTCCCATCCGACTCGTGACTAGATTCTTTCGTGTTTCTCGTTGAGTCTCTTATGTCTTTATTCGTCACTGACTCTACGATGCATATGCAAGTCGCAAGCATTGCGAGGCTCACTAGAGTCTTTCCAACAACGTGCAAGGCCATCTGAAAATATATTAAACATAAGTGCCAACGTCTGGTGGCGAACTAGTCGTTATCTAATTGCATACGGGAGAGACATTAATGATACTTGTGTCTTTGGTAGTAATGGTAGCTTAACGATAATAATAACGAATCCAGTAACCCCTTACCGCACCAGTGTCAGTGCGACGTATGTAAAAAGCAAAGCTATCCATGATAACTGTGAATGCTTAGAAACTTTCGGAATCTCGTCCTATGTAACTTTGTTGCGCAATGAGGCGAATTGATTTTCACTTCGTGAAAAAGGACGAGTTTGGTGTATATAAACGGCAGTGCTCCCATTCTAGAGTCACTTTACTTTCCCTGCCGTACGGCAGCTCGAGCGACAGCTCCTGAATATTGCGCGTTTAAGCGATCAAGGTTCGAATAATAATTGTCCGAAATTTCTTTCAAAGTAGCATCGCTGTCTCGTGTCGCGAGGGAAAGAAAGGTGCGTTACGAGTAGAACAAATGTTTGTGGGCATATTCGATGTCTAATTATGCCGATCGAATCACAATACGGAATGTGCCAGGAGAGGGTGCCACGCCTTTCCCTGGGAGCAGGCGGTGAACGGTCGTTGGTCGACAAACAGTCACGGGTCACTGGAGTACAGACTAACTTGTAATGAGTTGCAGCCAAGAAACGAATCTACAACGAATGCAGGTTTCTGCACTCGTAATGTATTCGCATGGTGTACGATACTTTCAAAGAATCACCTTTCGCGAAAATGGAATGAATTTAGTTGGCTCTTCTGAATTTACTACGACATCCTGACTTTACTTGTTTTCCTTTTACGACCTAGTTTTCTGTGGCCTGCCGTCAGATGTTTGCCTGATTTTTCTAACTTTACGCGACAAACTTATTTCAGTGGGTTGAAGTACGGTCGTACCCTTATTGAAAAATGATGCAATTTTCAGAATAAAATTTATGGAATTTTGATACTTGGGGTGTCAAGATACAATTTTTAGAGAGCTTATCTGTGCCAAAAATGTCGCCTGATCATCGACAGAAGAACGATAATTAGTTTTCTAGAAATAAAATAGCAATGGTTATTTGACATTTTATGTCAATGCACCTCGTCATAAAAATCTACAAGATTCAAAATTAGATCGTAACTCGCATCTTCTCGTACCAGAAGCGCATAATTTCAAGCCAATTAATAGTTGATACGTCACTCTCGTAATAATTTATTGTAAAATATAAATAGAATTGAAAAATTTCGTACGTTTCAATCTGTCTCTCGCCGTGGAAAACAGAAGCCGTACCGAATAAATACAATATTTACATAAAATGAAAAGTACATAAGTATTCCTCCAATTAGGAAGTTGGTCAACGACGTCGCCATTGGCATGGATATTGTGAGACATACGGGTTCTCAGTAACTACTTATATTCAAAATGCTTTAATACGCATATAGATAAAAATTTCCATACCACCGCTGACAGTATAGAATTTCTCTTTTTAACAAGTTACCCTTCCGAAAAATATAAATTTGTCTAAATATCTAGAAACGGCGTCTCAGTTAAATATGGTTTTGATCAGCTGATATTTAAACTCTTTACAAAACGTTGCTTATGAGCAACGATAAGACATAGACACTGTAAAAAGAATTTCCATTATTTCATTAAGTTGTCAATTTTATTCCTCGTACGAGAAGAAAATTGGATTTCATTATTTTCATATCTCAATAATACGGCAACGTGCGCCAAGTATTCACGGCGTAATCTTTCGGGCTTGTTGAACATATGTCGACTTTAGTCATAGAATTTGTTAAGGCTATTAGTGCTGGTCGAAACTATTCTCTATCTTCCGGTTATTCGCTGTTTTCGCATCATTACTATTGTGCACACGTCTGCGCATTGCATGCAACGTTAGTAGCTGCTGCCTATAACGGTACAGTTTGTCGTCGATTTGCATGTCCGCATGAAACCCGCTATGCAATAACGTATAACGGCCGTGAGAAACTTGCGTTGATTAATCGACCTTGTCCTTCTAACTGTTAGTAGGTGTGTTCCTGGAAGCGAAATTTTTTTTTTTTTTTTTTTTTTTTTTTTCTGAGAAAATTTTGATCACACATGTTTGCCATTTGCCTGCAAGTGCAAATAGTATAAAACGAGGCGAATGATTTCGGCCACATTTATTTCATTTCCGTGTATAAAATAAGCAAAGTGTCTTTGAATATTTGTAAAAGCACTAACGAAGTGATGAATAAAAATGGAAAGTTTTAAAAGTACCAAGGGAAGTCGATTATCTTGCCGTAGGAGGGTAAAGCAAAGAACGCCGAGCTGTTCCCAATGAGGCCGACGTGTTTCTCGCCGCGTAAATCTAACCGCGAGCTGAATGAGTCGAATGAATTTGGTCGAGAGCAGCACACACGCGACTTCACATCTCACTTCCTTTAACTTAGTTTTCTCTCGACTCTCCCGTACTAAGGCCGGACATGACTGCCTACATTTGCAATAAGAACGAATGAATGTCGTACGAGCTACAAAGTAGATCGGTTACAAAATCTTCGACGGCCGCCTTCTACGTCTCTGTGCTCGGCTTGTCTCGGCTTAGGCGGACTTGACTCAACACAATTCGCCTTTCTCGCAACGAAAGCCGAACCGCGCGGCGTTTTAAAACTTGTTGCAACACAGGCGAAGCCTGTGCCGTAACAGGTGGCGTTATGCCGGCGCACTTCGATATTTAGCGTGTATTCAGTGCAAATCAACTGTCGTCATTATACACGGTCAATTCGTTGTTCTCTGTCCAAGTGAAATGTTTTTCAACCTCTCGCTTGTTGCTTCTAGAGGTTCTGTTATGAAGCATACGAATTCCATTCTGTGCTGTTAAGCAAAACGTGTACGTATATCTATATTTTTAGTCTAGCCATAGTAAGTTGGTGACTTTTTTAAAATAGCATACGCACTACAGTCAATTTAACGAACTGATAAAATTCTACTTGCTTCATTCTTGTAAACAAATTAATAGAACTATTTTGTGGGATTTGATTTTGTTGTTTAGTATATGTCTTGTAAGACAACGTAACCATTACAATAGGATCCAGTCAGCCTCGTTGACTTGATTTCGCAATTCTATCAGCCACCTTGACCACTGATCTTGTTGACCTATGATCGGAGCCTGATTTGTGCAAATCATAACGGGTTTCAATCTGTATTGGCCCACTCACGGTAATCGCTCGGTGTTAAACGGCACGTAACGAAGTCTTCCGCTTACAGTGAAAGGTCAATGGAGCAACAAATCGATAAATCAGCTGATACAGGATTCATTCTGAATGAAACTTAGGGTAATTTTTCTGTGCGATTACTTAACTCTCTTGATATCAGCAGCTAATATTAGTAACCCTTATAAACCTTCGTTTGCGTTCCTCGTATAGATCGTGATCTACAACAATCGTTACAGTCTTGTTAAAGTTACTCCGTCATTAGAATACTCACTTTCCGTCTGCGTTTAGATGTTTGATATATTCAAAGGAATAACAATTAATTTGGATGTAATCTATAAAAACTGTGAACTCTGCCAATTCATAATTGAATTTTTTTTTTAATCCAAAATTTAGTTTTGATATATATAAATATTGTATTTTTTGCTCTTACTCAATACACTTTCATAAATTGGGCTGGTGGCTCAGTGATTAGGATCAGTGGGTAGTATCAGATTTCTCATTTCGAGCATCTTGGTCATCGAAGGTTCGACTTCTGTTCCCTTTTTTTATCCATCGCTACAAAACTGTGCTTGGTACAGTAGGATTTTAATGAGGGGATAAAAGATCAATTTAAAGTTGTTGACAAAATTCATAAAAATAAGGTACCTTTACTTTACGTACAATTGGATAATTGTGTCTCTAGGACCTAGTCATTTCGATTGCTACACGAGTGATTGGACCCTGGGCAGTTTACCTCTGTATCCGTAGAGCAGAAGTCTGGGCGAAATAGAGTGTAACTGGATTCGATACTAAATTTCTACAGGGGTTATGGTAATTTGGAATCGTATTGACTTTCGTCGTTACTTGTTTCGCAAATGGATCATAAATCTCGGCATCTAACTGTCAAGCATTTTGAGTCAGACTCTGTCGTATAATATAATTCAGTTTTGCATTAGCGAGTAACGCAGATCTCTAACTAAATATGGATACATCGAATGATAATTGATTTTAGTAGGTCAATTATATAAAATTAGTTATGTGGACAGCATGTCCCAGAGCTTCTAATTTTCATTATATATCAGAGTTTTCAAAGGTATCTACTAGTTAAATTGCTGTTCGATTTTGATCTTCTTACCGAAAGTGAAAGAGAAAGTTTTGAACTGAATTTTGTCATCCCGTTCTTTTGGAGGTTAGAGATGTTAATTTCTGTTAAAAAAAAAAAAGGCCCGCAACTCTAAAGGGCTGTGAGGAATGCATAATTCTTCATTGTAATTTATGGTTGGCGTTCGTTTCGGAAGGTGAAAATGAAACGGAATAATTTTTCATATTCCCAAGCACCGATGAGGTATCTGTTCAGAGGGGAATATATGCTCACGTGGTATCGTTTATCGTCGAAGTACCATTACTTTCGTACACTAAAAAAAAAGAACAAGATGACGCTGAATGATAAGAGTTCTCGACGGCCGTAGCATGTGTGCTCGTGTGCTCAGGTCGGAGTATGCGCCCGCGGGCGAACATTTTAAAGCAAGTTCTCTTCGTGAAACTACTCTATGTTTTTCTTGCTTCAAAATTCACTGTTGCGCTACGTTTTTCGTCGAGAGACAATAGATCCGCTATGTGGGGTACATGCTAAATGTAATACGATGAAGAGTTTTTACAAATCGTATCGCCTAACGAATATTAAAGGCAACGTTACAATTCATTGATGCATCAAACATCTTAAACACGCGTAAGGGATTGAACGCCATTTAGGAACCAGAATTGAAAGGAAAATTAACGTTTTCAAAAGGAGATTTTTTTAAAAATCCGTGAAACTTTTATGAGTATCACTGCTAT